CCCCCACCTCCCCCTTCAGCCTCCCCGGGCAAATATGACTCGATTTATGAAAACGTAGTCAAAGAAAAGGGCGTTCTTTTGCACCAAGCAAGCAACGCTCTTGGATTGTACTACTCCTAAAGGCTGAAAAATCACTTTAAGCGACCAAAAACAGAAAAGAAAAAGAATAATGCTAAAAGGAAGATAAGAGGAGTGGAGAAAAAAAAGACCGACTTTCCTTTAAGTTTTTATATCGTCTACTTTGGACATATGTCTCTGGAGGGAGCAACTGACGCTTGACAACTTGGGTGATTCTGAAATGTTCTTTAAAATGGTTTTCCTGAATCCAATCATGTAATATGGCAAGCCAGTTATTCTTGATGAAAGCGCCGATTTGGAACGATTCCCTGAATGACCCGAATTTTGCAACGCGCAGCTCTACATTTGTATAATACAGCACTGAGTAGCTCTCACGAACCAGCCAGTAAATTCGCTGATTTGTTTAAACTGTGTATATACCGCATATTCAAAACTTCCTATCTACCCTGATTTCTGAACACCTTTTTTCATTTAATTTTTAATGTTTCTTTTAGGAGAGAGGCGTGAAAAATATGTGCATGTATCTGTACTAGAGAACATCTGTCCTTTTGAACTGGTCATTATGGATCTAGGACAACGGGTACTGTAAAAAAATTGGGTCATTTTTCCTCCCTAAGTAAGCGCCCAAACAAGCTACATGACTGCATAATTGAAAAAGAGCTGTAGAAACTTCATTCAGTCCAAACTTTAGAAACTGAAAGTCAGAGTAGACAAGGCAGGGGTAAGGGTCTTTGATTCGTTGATTTTAGCTGTTGGCTCTCTAAGCTATCTAACTATTAATTTGATCATTGACTACTTTTTTAAAGAGCAGCTATAATGAAAACGCAGTTGTGTCCCATGCACTTTGATACATTTTTTCCTCCGCTCTCTGGAAAACGACAATGTGAAAAGACCTCCGTACGCATTCTTTACCGACAGTGAGGTTTTCGGTTTGTAACTAGGTTTCAACATTATTTTACGTCATATACACCGCTCGTGAGAAGAGAACCAGAAGTTTTATACCAAATCCCCCCCGCCCCCCATCCTGTTCTATTTTGTGGCGAAATNGGGGGGGGGGGGGGGGTGTAAGTGAGAAAATACGCGCAAGATACTGAAAAATATAAGCAAGGCGGTTGATGTAAAAATGTAAACAATAAAACGCAAATGTCCGATTTTAGGGATCATACACTAAGCTAAACGCTAGCTGTAAGTAAAACTGCATTCGTAAGTCTTGTTTTCCTGAACTTTGTTTTCATTAGAGTGCCATTTCGTTCACTCACCCTTGCGCCAAGGAAGATGACGATTGTCATCTCTGACCCTTCCATTATGTGTATATGCATCTACATACTCTAAATGGCTCGGTATTGTGAGAAGCATTTGCAAGAGCATGTCTTTTCGATGCTGCAAAGCCTGCAAAATAAATAAACTACAATTCATAGCAACTGACACATTTGTCGCAATTGACAAAGTGAAGAATCAGAAAGAACCAAACAAATTGAATTAATTTCATGATAAAGCTTCAATAAAGAACTACGTTTTTCGAAAATAGCTACATCATTTCAGAGATCAATAAGCTTTAAGTCCGGTGAAAATAGCTTAATCTTATTCCAAACTGAATCGCAAGGTGTAATTTTTTTCAGCCAACTTTAAGATGGACGCAAGCTTGTTTAAAATTAGTTTTTTGGGGGAAGAAACACAGCAGAAAACTTACGTCTGTGAGATAGTCTATTCCAAGATACCGTGGCATTTTTGCGTCGTATCAGAAGCTTATTTTTCTTTGTGAACTCTCAGTATTCCTTTCGCCAAATTCATGGCCTTTTGGGGTTGTTGTAAAAGTTGCCAGTCGACAGCCGTGCACTGCGACAATTTCGCGCGCTTTTTCATGAAGGAACGCTCCCTCTCCACCCTCAGACAAAACATTGCTTTGTGACCGAGCTTTGTACATGCACGTGGAAAATCCAAGATGTCGTCTTTGGCGAAGCAGCTAAAACAGCTTCAAATTCCGGGCAGTTTGCCTTCAACTGCTACTGCTAAAGCGAGCAAAAAGGCATCTTTGCTCTTTGACTCTAAAGAAGCAGCTGATATTGACAATGAAACGGTATTTTCAATCGGTTTGAATGGCCTGGAAGAGTTGAAAGTTATCGAACCAGCGTTCTCGACTTTCGATAATTCGCTATTTGGCGATACCTCGAAGTCACTTGAGAGAGCCCTGCAGTCGAAAGACGTCAACGAGAAGCTAGACAAGCACATTGCAAAGTTTCTGCAATATTTATCTCCATATTTCTTACTGAAACCAGCTCATAAGGTCTTGGAGTGGTTAATACGACGCTACCAGATTCATGTGCACAATGTTGATACCTTGGTAACTTGTATTCTTCCCTACCACGAAACAAACTTGTTTTCTCGTGTGCTGCAACTGTTATCGATAAAAGATCCTTCGTCGAAATGGAACTGGCTTCGTCCGGTTCAAAAAGCTAGTTCGCCTCTCTCCAAGACGGCTTTCTTGCAACATTGTGTTTCGGATCCTGGGTTTTTCTCTCTTATCTGTGAAATGGTAAAAGAAGGCATAAAACTGGAAATCCCGCCGTCCAGCTTGAGAGTCTTGTTCACATTTTACACATCAACAGTTGTTGGCGTATTGGATATGTTGCCGAAGGTCACAGAGAGGTTTATAAACCAATTATTGCCTTATTTACTGGAAGGACTCAAGTCTGCCTTACCTGAAATGGTTGCTTCCTCTTACATGATTACAGCTCAGCTCTGTTCTAAGTGCAATATGGAGGAAACTTTAGTGAAATCCCTAACTGACAGTATTTGCAAGGTAGATTTTATTTCCAACATAAACATGCTGCACTAGTCATACCAGCAGAGAGCAGAGAGGGATGCTATTGGTGGATCAAAACCTTGAGCTAAGCCGGGGAGGGGGGGCGGTTTTGTTCTGCTTGCCCTGCCGGCTTTTCTTCCTTCTGTGATTTTTCCCTTTTTTTACCCAAAATAAAGGGTGGGGGGTGGGGTGGGCCCCCCTGGACCCCTCCCCTGAAGCCACTACTGGATGCAGGGTTTGCATTAGATTGTTGACTAATCATTAAACTGTCGTTACCACTGTTTTCACCGCTACGTGTACGTGACCTTCAAAATCAAAATGCTCTTTGCAGTAGACTTCTGTCAATCAAACAGCCATACCTTATATCACATACTGGTCTGCCAAAGCGGCTTCACAAGGTCACAAAGGTTGTTTTATTTCAGAAGTCTATGGCACCTCTTTGTTTGATACGCGAGTGACATGTTCATGTAATCAACAATCTTCTGCCTCTAACAGTAACTTTTCCAGATCTCTGCTAATGAGATTATGTTGTCACAGAAAATCTCCATACCCCTTCCACGGAAGGTTTTTTAGTTTGAACCCCCACCCCTTCCCCCCTCTGGAAATTCCAGTTAAGTTTCATAACCCCTCCCTCTCCCCCTTAGAATTTCCGTTAACCTTCATTGGGGTGGGTATGGATATTTTCTGCAACTGCACGTGGTCAGATAACTTTTTTCTACATATAGGAATCAATCCCCTTGCAAAGAGTTGATTTAGTTGTTTCTGCATACGTGTTCATTTTTGTTGCCATTTACATGCAGCTTTTTTGATATAAATTTGTCATTTTCATCACAGAACTTAAAACCAAGAATTACTATTGAGGGTCTGTCTTGTCTCACCTATATATGTCAATCCCAAGGTGTGAAAAAATTATCAAAACGGTAAGTTTTTGAGGATAATCATTAGCTGTTGGGATTTAAAGTCCAGTGTGTGATGAAATGTGTATTCCCCGTGTTTGAAGGAAAGATCCTTCTGAGAAAAACAAATCACATGAGTTGAGTACTTTTCTGATGCTGGACTCAAATTACATGCACATGTACTGTATGTTTAAATAGCAATATAATAAGTGAAAAATTCAGTTCTTCATGTGTAACATATGTGACCCTCCACGGGATTTCCAGCATAATGGTGATGACACGGGCACGCTATTTTAGTACGGTAGACAAAAGAAATTTTTGTTAACATGGTAGCAGTGTGCCACGATGCACG